TAAAAAACCTGTAGCAGCAAACGGCGTCCGCTCCCAAAAATTTGTTTGCATGGCCGTCGCACCTCACACTCCGACGCCCTTTCACGCAAGGTGTATGAAGGCGTCGAGGGCTGGATTGAACAATATGACCGTGTCGCCCACCACAGTGGATGAACAGACAACCAGCTCTTGCGGAACCTATAGTTCTCGTGGAAGAAACTGTCAGGCATTGGTTTAAGAACCACGAATCATCCTTAACGTCGTGAAAAGTTCGCACAATCAAACTGAAGCGCACGTTCATCAGTCAACATTGACGAGAGAAAGCCGAATTCCTGATTCTGTCCAGGATCAGGCCACCCACGCCAACCCTAATGCTACAGAAGACAAGAAGCTAAGAGTCCCATGTCCCTCATGTGAGGGACAACACCTTCGGCAGCCTTGTCCGCAACCCCACGACAACAGTCAAAGTGTTTATATCACCGAGGCTTCCAACATTGAATGTACATTTCAGGCCCAAGCCTGTCACTATCAACAACTCCCTAGCGTCTCGATATTCGAGCCGTCAAGCTGCAACTTTGACGCCAGCCTCCCAGGAATCCGTGACATCATCCACGACTTTGTCCGGGATGAGATCAGTAAGCTTCTTCCTGCCATCAGTTGCCCGAATTTTCTTTTGATATCTGAGATTGTTTCGGAACAAGTTCGACAGGGATTTAAACTGGAGACTTTTTCGAGCGAAGCGGCATCTGACGAACCGAGGGTGACTTATGCCACAAAGTAACGACGATCGCCACCGGCTACCCGTTAGTATTCAATGCCAATTCAACGCGACACCCCAACGCTGAAGCATTCTCGATATCGGGAAGAACCAGTGAAGGTCCCCGCTGAACAAAGTTTACAGAGGAAAACGGAGGTGCTGCATGAGGCCGAACATGTCTATTGGAGGTGCCCATACCAATGAATTGGCCTGCAAGGGTTTGTGCCGAACGACCCTTGGCAACGTCTCGAGGAGCGTCCGCGGGCCATTGAGGAATACCTTCGGCGGCCTTTTCCCCTGGTTCCGACATTACATTGAAACTCCTCATCCCTATCCCCTCGACCACAGGTAAGCACGACAAAGCAGGTGAGCGGCAATGCAAGGGCAATTGATTTGGTGTCGGTTTTCGGCCAAGGACAATACCTAACAATTTGCTGACACCAATAGACCGATCTCACCAGCCAGTTTGACTACGCCACCGCTGCCGCAATGCATCAAGGGAACTTTAGTCTTTCTGCACGTGCTATAACCTTGCTGGAGCTCTACGCTTGTGGAGCACGAGACAGCACGAGCCCCCGCATATGCGGCAGTCTGCCTACCGGCAACTAAAGTAATGGCGGCGTCACGCATGCGCCGAATGCTCAGTGAGATCGGTCAATTATCTGTGTACACGCAACGAAGCACACAAGTAACAACTTTGGGAAGCATGCCGCTGAGTGACTTGAAGAAATAGAATCGTTCTACTCAAAAGTGCACACCAAGCATCACCCGACTTCACTTCGCTACACAAGACTTGCACAAGCTGCAGTGGTCGTGGGATGCAGAAAAAATCGCCACTACGAAACGGAAGTGAAATGGCTTGGATAGCAAACAAACTGTGTTGCCGGCCGTCAATTCAACGGTAGCAAAAGGCACAGCCACGCAGGCAATACATGCCCGAGCTTGCTGCACTGACGCAAAAAACTACCATGAAAATTTGCGGATTAGGAGCCAGCCCTGCAGCGTCAGTGCATCAGATGTCACTGGCCGCACATAACGTATGACTACAAGACGACATCAGTTGGTGAAAGTTGCCACTCGACCAAACTGAACACCGACGTGCAGGAGCGTCATGCGGCAACAAGGAGCACAGACACTACGACTGAACGCCTGACACGAAACTGTCGCTGAAGGAACTCGTTATGGAACCATTTGCAGTAAACCAATAATTATGTAATAAAGTGGAAATAAACATATTTGATACACTAACCAAATAATCATATTTCCGCTGCTCATTTACGCCTTCAGGACACTCGCATCTCTGACCGCTCAATATTAATTGATGGGACATACCAGACTGGCAGACTGGTTGCATTGGGCTGCACTCGTTGGATTTCTCCTGAACATGTGGCGCATCGGAAAACTACAGCGCGAAACACATGTACGACGAAACCGTCCGATCCGACGTCCGACCGCGCAATACGACGGTCGGAGGCGAGGGTTTTCAACGCTCTCCGATGCTACGAAAACCCTCTCCCCCCAAGGTCATTCCGGCAGTCCGCACGTCGGATCGGAAGGTTTTCGTCGTACATGTGTTTCGCGCTTAACTCCGGTGATGTGAAAATGCTGTTTATTAATGTATTCCCTCCAAGGGCCTCTGTAGGCATTGCAGAAAAGATATTTAAAACTGCGCACATGATAATAACGTCAAAGCACACTGACATTAATAAGCAGAAAATGGGCCCAGCTACCGAAAAATTTAATATTACACTCGTTTGAAAGTATTATTGCTGCAACTTCTTGATTGCAAAAACATACACACCTCTCATCATCTAGTTTAATACTATGTGTTGATGCATTGTTACATAGTGTTGCGTTCACAGAGGGGAGCCGACACCGTACAACGGATAGTTAAACATTTAATCGCTAAAGTAAAGGTAAATTACACTCAAAGAAAAGGAATGCGCTCACAAGGTGACGACGCCATCGTTCGGTCTCTTCGTGCACGTTTCAGCCGAGCCCTTCTTCCTCTTTTCTCCTGATCTCAGCGTGCATACTTTTTTTCTTCTCCCTATATGGGTGCTTGGTAATATTGTCCCTTTTGCACTTTATGGTTTCAACACACTGCCCCCCTAAATGACAGTGTCATTTCATTGCGTTATTTCCAAGGGGTATAGAAGTTGAATTGGTCGTTTGACAATGTTTCCTCCAGGAAGCTTTAACTTGCAGGATCTTACATTGCCGTCACGTCCTGGGAACACTTGCGTAACTCTTCCCATCTTCCATAGTTGGCGTGGAATCATGGTTTCGCGCAAGAGCACGATGTCTCCTTCTTTAATGGTTTTGCACTCAGACGCTCTGGTGCTCGACGTCGAGCGAAGATCGTTGAGATATTCCTTTGTCCATCTACGCCAGAACATGTCCAGTGCCCGTTGCCTGTCCTTCCAAAGAATTCTTAGATTTTCACAAGAGATGTCTCTTATTTCTTGCTGTCGCAAGCTTGGCAGAGAAGTCGTTCGCTTTCCGGTCAAGAAGAAAGCAGGACAAAGTGCTTCCGGCTCTCCAGACTCGACGTAGACGTGGGTCAAGGGTCGAGAGTTCAAGACTGCTTCGATTTCAGTTAGCGTTGTTGTCAATTCTTCGGCATTGAGACGGCTGGAGCCAAGGGTCTTTTTCAATGCTTGTTTTGTCGAACCAACTAACCTTTCGTAAAATCCTCCCCACCAAGGAGCTCGTTCTACAATAAACCTCCATTCGATTCTTGCATTTGCAAAAAAGTTCCGCACTTCTTCCGTTCTAATGACAGCCCAGATGCATGTCAGATCTCGATTAGCTTTCTTAAATGAAAGTGCGTTGTCACTATAGATAACTTGTGGTATGCCTCTTCGCGATATGAATCGACGAAAGGCTAGTAAGGAGGTTTTCGTGGACATGTCGCTAACCATCTCTAGATGTACACCTCTTGTGACAGCACAAGTAAATAGTGCAATGTAGGATTTCTTGTCTGGTCCTAAACTCTTCACGAAGAGGGGGCCGGCGAAGTCCACTCCGGTGATGGCAAAGGGTGGAGCTCGTGTCACCCGATCAGGTGGAAGGGGCGCTGTCACTTGTTGGGCTGGGAGTGTGTTGAAGCGCTGGCAAGTTAAACACTTTCGGATCGTTTGTTTTACCAACTGCCGTCCCCCGATCACCCAGTACCTTTCCTTTAGTTGGACTAACGTGTCTCTCACTCCACCATGAAGCACACGAAGGTGTGATTGTATTGCTAGCAAACTGGAAAGTTGTGCTTTTGGGAAGACTGTCGGATGACGTTCCCCGTAGGGTTTCAAGCTGTGTTGTAGCCGTCCCTTCACTCGTAGAAGGCCGTCACTATCGATAAAGAGCGATAGTTCTCGAAGAGGAGAATCTCGGGGAAGTCTCGTGTTCTCCTGGGTAGATCTAATCTCTCTTGAGAGGTGTGCTCGTTGTTCTTGACGAAGCCAGTAAAGTTCCGCCTCATTAATTTCTTGTGTTCTGAGTGGGCCACTTGTCTTTTCCGTCCGTCGCAAGTTATTTACGTAGCGAAGAATCCAAGCTGTCACTCTGAATGCTCTGTCGGCAGAACTGAAGCGGTTTATGTCTACTACTGGAAGTGCTCTTGCTGGAAGTGTAGTTGTTTGTGTAACTTCAGTTGTCCGTCTTTCCTTCGCGTCTTGTTCTGTTAAGTCCGCAGATGTAGCCAACTTAGGCCAGTAGTCTTCAGGGCTATTGATCCACTCGGGTCCGGACCACCAGAGTTGCTCATTTACTAGTCGACTGGCTTTTACGCCGCGTGTCATTAGGTCTGCTGGATTCTCCTTCCCAGGACAATGTCTCCAACGTATTCTGTTGGTATGACTCCGTATTTCTGTGACGTGGTTCTGGACAAGCGGTTTCCAGCGGGTGGCGTCACTGTTTATCCAGTGACACGCAATAGTGGAGTCAGTCCACAAGTATGTTTTCGTTGGTACGTCATGTAAACTTTCCGTCAGGTATTAGCCCCGTGCGCGACCGAAAGCGTCGCTGTGGTCGGCCTTCCACGATTGGCCGAACGCTGACTATGACGTAGGAAAGGGGATTTACCATCGACGGAAATAAGAGGAATGAAAGAACTTTGATTTTGACGGTGTTGACAGTGTTGCTTTAAGAGCTCAATGATTTCAAGCTTCCACCATGCTATTTACAAACACCATCGAACTTGTTGTTTGCAAGGTAATGACGTCACAAAGGGGAACCATAGGAGGGCGCCAGCAAAGCATCTCGCCGCTCATTTGTATAATCTGGCAGCGAGAAGGCAAGCCATCAGTTCCAGTCTTGCCAAAGTTAGTGGTTTCACCGGTGCTATTCTTGATTTACTCATCACAATAGTCGATACGCTGTTACCTTCAACGTCGGCACTGCAGACGTACGCAACCGCACCGTAGGCTACGGTGCTTGCATCAGCAAAGATATGCAACGCAACGTTCTCTGAACGGCCCTTCGATAGAAACCCGTAAAAACGTGGCACTTGAATCTTGTTAAGTTCGTCTAGTTCGGCACACCACTGGAACCATTCTTCTTTCATATCATCGGGAATGCTATCATGCCAATTGACCTTCCTTTTCCACAGTTGCTGAAACAGCGATTTCGCTCTGACAGTGAAGGGGGATATCCATCCCAGGGGGTCGTAGAGCCTTGCAGTCGTTCTCACGACGCTTCGTTTAGTTTCTTTCTCTTGTTGTTCTAATCTGAAGCTCGTCGTAAACGTCAACCTATCGGAGTCTGGATCCCAGGTGAGTCCCAGTACCTTCAGTACCCCTGGAAGGTACCCGAGGTGTGTCGTGTGGTTTGGATAGTCTTGCTCAAAAAGCTCCTTCAAACGCTTGTTGTTTGAGACCCACTTGTGCAGCGTCATGGAAGCAGAGCTAAATATGGTCTTGGCTTCCGTGTAAATCTTCACGGCTGCTGCTTCTTCATCTACTCCAGTTAGCAAGTCATCAACATAAAACGATTCCTTAAGAATTTTCACGGTCTCGGGATACTTATGTTCCACACTTTTCAAATGATGTTGGATAGTTGCAGAAAGCAGGAAAGGGCTTGACGTGGTTCCAAATGGAACTCGTTTCATGCCATGGGTGGTAAAGATCCAGAAACCGGCGGAGTCGTTTCAAACAATAAGAAACGAAGCGCATCTCTGTCTGTTTCGACAATTTCAATTTGTAAAAACGCTTTCTCTATATCCGCCACTAGGGCTATTTTGTGTGTTCTGAAGTTAAGCAGCAAGCTCACGAGGTCCGCGGTTAAATTAGGTCCACTCTCAAGGTTTTGATTCAGTGATTTTGCTTCGTATGCATGTGACGAAGCATCAAAAACCACCCGGAGCTTTGTAGTGTTGCTTGATTCCCGAAGCACAGCTTGGTGTGGCATGTAATAGGTCAGTAGTTCGTTCTCGTTGTCACTCGGAACTACGCGTTCTGCCATGTCCTTCACCATGTACTCTCTTATGACGTTATCGTACGCCTGTAGGTTCCCAGGTGTCTTTCGTAGCTTACCGATTTGCTGGTGCAGGCGTTTTATAGCGACCCCCTTGTTGTCCCCAAGGTCCACCATGTTCTTCCAGGGAAGGGCAACTTTGTACCGTCCATTTACTTGTGTCACAGTTTGTTCAAAATTGTTCATCACGGGATCGTTCCCCATATCGTTCTTTTCGAAATCATTGACACCGATGGTCTCCAGTGTCCAGAATTTCTTCAGAATGTCTGTCCTAGACTCGGTCACTTCAGCATTGAGAGCTGTGATCTGATAACAAGGAAGCTCTTCTGTGGCTCCCTCGACTGGTCCTTGAACGCTCCATCCAAAGACAGATTCAACTGCCCTGAGCCCTCCTTCCAGCTTACGTGACCGTCCAGTGGTCAGCTCCCAGAATTGTTCAGATCCAACCAGAAGATCGATGGTTGTCGGTCCCTCATCGTTGGAGAGGTCCCCGATGGAGCAGTTTAGCTCTTTGAGTTTGTCGTTAAGGTGTTTAGACGGAACTGGAATTCGTTGGTTGCATATCAGTTCGGTCTCCAACACCTCGAGTTGATGTATCTTTCCGGTCTGTGTTGTCAAAAACACCAATACACGCTGGAATTCCTTCTCTGTGACGCTGCCACCGAAGACACCGACTGTCAAACGCTCATGACCTAATAGCTTACAACCAAGTTTTCTGGATGCTTTTTCTGTAACGAAAGTGCGTTGACTTCCCCCGTCAAAAAGTGCTCGGAGTTGAAACTTTTTTTTGTCGCCAGTACACCAAATTGTGGCGGTTTGCATGAAGACTATCGGTTTTTCCTGGTTGTTCGTCGTCGCTTCCAAGTTGACGGGGACACTTGTTGTGACGGTATCATTATTTGTCCGTTTTCCTGGAGAGTAATTTGGATCACACATTGATGTTGCGTGTCTTCCTCCGCACTTCTGGCATCTTATGTTGCTCCGACACTCCTTTGCTTGATGGTTCTTCTTGGTACATCTGAAGCATCGCCTCTCTTTTCGGAGCAGGTCTTTTTTCTCTCGTAAAGATGTACCGGCGTCGCAGTTGTCAGCGGTATGTCGAGTCGACTTACAAATAAAACATCGATCGCCCCTTGAGGACGGATTCAGTAGAGCCGCCGAAGTTTGACTCTTCCGTGCTTTCTCGTTGTCTTCATTTTTCTTGTGATCTGCTTCTTTTTTCCGCGGCTCGCCATAAGTATCCATAGCTTGCAAGGCAGCGAGGTTTTCTCGACTTAGTACTTCAAGTCTTAAAAAGTGAACTAACTTGGAAAACGAATCTTCCGTCCTCCGTTGTGGAGATGTTCTTTCTTCATCGCTGGGATGCGAAGACTCTCTTGGTTGCGTTGTCGTCGCCGTTAGCGTGTTTCGTGGAACTATTAAGTCCTCCGGCTGCTCCATCACTAATTTCCTGTTGAAGTCTAGGAGTAGTTCTTTTGGGAGGGCACGTTGAACGATGGGAAATAACATAGAACTGAAGGTTTCCTGCTGTCTTCCCAACGTTTCCAGACCTCTGATGTTTGAGATCACTGTGTCGTAAAGACAACGAAGGCCACGAATGTCAAAGGCAGAACGCACTGGCTTGACATCGATCAGTCTTTTTAGGTGGGTCTGGACGAGCAGGTCTTGGTTTCCGAAGCGACTCTTCAACAATGTGACCGCGTCTTCGTAGCATCGTGCGGTCGACGGAAGTCCGGCAATCGCTGCTGCAGCATCTCCAGTCACTGCTGTATTCAGATAGTTGAACTTGTCAACCTCTGTTAGTTCGTTGTTATAATGTACAACTTGGTTGAATTGTTCCCAAAATTCTTGCCACTGGCTGACGGAGCCGTTGAACTTAATCAGCTCGAGCTTTGGTAGCCTCATTCGAATTCTCGTTGTCGCACCAGTGGGGTTGTCGTTTCTATCGGTTATCGGTGGGCTTTGCTGATTCGGAAAGCCTGTCCTACCTCGATGTGCTAGTCTTGAAAGACAGGCTGTGATTCTATCGTTGTATTCGAAGACTTGAGTAAACTCAGTCTCGCTGTCTTGATCAGGGACTAAAGGTTCGATCTTTTTGTTCACGTCAATTAGCCCTACCTTAAGTCCCGTCAGTTGGTCGTGTAAAACGTTCGCATCTTCTGGCGTCAGCTGTTGATTGAGTCGTTCGTTGCACTCATTCATGAGGCGTGTCACTTGAGTGCGAAGTACCTTACGTTTCTTGGTGTACCGATCCATCGTTTGACTGTCTCGCTGCAGATGTCGCGTTCTTGGGAGACTCGTTCAGGGGTTTTCTCCTGGGTTTCGGCTCCAATAAAATGTTGCGTTCACAGAGGGGAGCCGACACCGTACAACGGATAGTTAAACATTTAATCGCTAAAGTAAAGGCAAATTACACTCAAAGAAAAGGAATGCGCTCACAAGGTGACGACGCCATCGTTCTGTCTCTTCGTGCACGTTTCAGCCGAGCCCTTCTTCCTCTTTTCTCCTGATCTCAGCGTGCATACTTTTTTTTCTTCTCCCTATATTGTCACGGGTAGTGACCAAAAGAAAACAGGAAATAAACAGGGAGAAATAAACCTTTAATGTGGCGAACTTGTGCCGAAAAATAAAAGGGTTCAAAGATAATAACAGAGCGTCGCGGGCGTCGAAGTCGGCGTAGCAGCACAGTCGAACGCTGGGGCGAAAACTGACTCGACAAGGTCGCGGGCGGCCTCTTATCTAGAGTGCGTCGCTATCTCGAAGATTCGGCGAAAGCGGCTCGAGCGTCGCGTGATCGGGGCGAGAATGAACACGCACTATCTAGAAAACAAAAGCAGGAATAAATGATAGAAGTTAACGTGCGGTACATGAATAGACGAGAACTTTCTGGGGGTCCGTGACCGAGCGTTGCTTTCTCAGCCCTGCGCGCGGCATTATCCCCCCCTTTAAAAGTGCATCGTCCCGATGCAGCACAAAAACGGAAAACAAAAAAACAAAAGGACAGCAGAATTGCTAGCCGGAGTTCACAGTCCACAGTTCACTCGTCGACGAGAGTGGAGAGTCCTATCGTTCGTAATACGGCTTCAGCCGAACGACATGCACCACCTCGGGTCGCGGCTGACGTCTTGCAGATGGGCGCGTTCCGTCGGGTAGAACTTCGTAGTTCAGATCGCCGAGGCGTCGGATGATCTTGTAGGGCCCAAAGTAGCGCTTCAGCAATTTCTCACTGAGGCCGCGGCGACGGATGGGCGTCCATACCCACACCCTATCTCCGGGCTGGAAGTGGACGTCCCTGCGACGAAGGTTGTAGCGGCCGGCGTCGACGCGTTGCAGGTCTTGAATCAGGAGTCGGGCGAGCTGGCGAACTTCTTCGCCGCGTTGAGCAACCGCCTGGGCGTCGTCGCTCTCGTTGTCAGATGGCTCATGGGGCAGCATGGCGTCCAGCATGGTCGTTACCTTCCGACCATGTACCAGCTGGAAAGGGGTGAATCCAGTGGTCTCTTGAACCGCCGTATTGTAGGCGAACGTGACGTAGGGCAGCACCTCGTCCCACGTCTTGTGCTCTACGTCGACGTACATAGAGATCATATCGGCGATTGTCTTGTTGAGTCTCTCCGTCAGCCCGTTGGTCTGCGGGTGGTACGCAGTTGTACGACGATGGCTGGTATGACTGAGTCGGAGGATTTCTTGGGTCAGTTGTGCCATGAACGATGATCCGCGATCTGTAATCAGAACTTCTGGAGCGCCGTGCCGGAGGACGATGGACTCAATGAAAAACTTGGCAACTTCCACAGCAGTCCCCGAAGGAAGAGCTTTCGTTTCGGCGTACCGTGTGAGATAATCTGTGGCGACGATGATCCAGCGGTTCCCTGACGTCGAAGGCGGAAAAGGACCAAGTAGATCCATTCCGATCTGCTGGAAGGGTGCAGTTGGAGGAGAAATAGGCTGCAGGAGTCCGGCCGGCCTCGTCGGAGGTTTCTTGCGTCGCTGGCACTCGTGGCATGATCGTGTGTACAGGTGGACGGTCTTGGGAGCTTGGGCCAGTAATACTTCGCACGAATACGGGCCAGTGTCCGGCTGTATCCAAGGTGTCCGGATGTCGGGTCGTCGTGACATGCTTGAAGATCTCCCCTCGAAGGTCGGTCGGGATTACCAGCAGCCACGGCGAGTTGTTGTCCCCGAAGTTCTCTTTGTAGAGCACACCTTGTCGAATGGCGAAGGTCGACACGGCTCGTGAGAAAACACGGGGTACGGTTCCGCCGCGCCCTTCCAGGTGCTCGATTAAGGCTCGCAGCTCCGGATCGTCTCGTTGACGTCGTGCCATGTCATCGGTGTTCACTGCCCCTAGAAAGCACTCGTCATCATCGTCGTCGCTGTTGCAGGAAGGTGTTTCGACAGGGGCCCTGGACAGGCAGTCAGCGTCGCTGTGCTTGCGTCCTGACTTGTAAACCACAGTCATGTTGAACTCTTGTAGCCCAAGGCTCCATCGAGCGAGGCGTCCTGACGGGTCCTTGAGGTTCGCAAGCCAGCAGAGCGAGTGGTGGTCTGTGACTACGCGGAACGGGCTTCCGTACAAGTACGGACGAAACTTCGTGATTGCCCAGACGACCGCAAGGCATTCTTTCTCAGTCGTGGAGTAATTTCTCTCTGCCTTGGACAGTGTCCGACTTGCGTAGGCGATGACTCTTTCGGTGCCTTCTTGTACTTGAACTAGTACCGCGCCAAGTCCTGCGTTACTTGCGTCAGTGTGAATCTCGGTGTCCGCATCCTGATCGAAATGTCCAAGAACCGGAGGCGTCTGGAGTCGTCGCTTCAGCTCGTCGAATGCCTGCTGTTGTTCCTCGGCCCATTCGAACCTCTCGGCGTCCTTCGTGAGGTTTGTGAGCGGTGCGGAAATCCGTGCGAAATCCCGAACGAAGCGACGACAGTAGGCGCAAAGTCCAAAGAATCTTCGCACGGCCTTTTTGTCTGTCGGCGCTGGAAATGACGCGACGGCGCGAGTCTTCCTCAGGGTCTGGGCGCACGCCTTCATTGCTAACCACGTGACCCAGAAACTTCAGTTCGTCATAGGCGAACCGACACTTTGGCGGTTTGAGGGTGAGTCCAGCGGCCCGTATGGCTTGAAGAACAGCTCGGAGTCGTCGCAAGTGCTCGTCGAAGTCGCTGAAAACACCACGACGTCATCGAGGTAGACCAGACAGCTCTGCCACATCAGTCCTGCCAGTACGGTGTCCATAACACGCTGGAAAGTTGCTGGAGCCGTGCACAGTCCGAAGGGCATCACCTTGAATTCGTACAGCCCATCTGGTGTGACGAAAGCTGTCTTCTCTCGGTCCCGTTCGTCGACTTCGATCTGCCAGTAGCCGCTCTTCAGGTCCATCGATGAGAAGTATCGAGAGTGGCGCAGCCGGTCTAACGTGTCGTCGATTCGGGGGAGTGGGTAGACGTCTTTCTTCGCCACCGCGTTCAGCTGCCGGTAGTCCACGCAGAACCGAAGCGTTCCGTCCTTCTTCTTAACCACTACGACTGGAGAGGCCCACGGACTGCTTGATGGCTGGATTATGTCGTCCTTCAGCATCTCTTGAACTTGCTCCTGGATCACCTCCCTTTCTATAACGGAGACTCTGCACGGTGATCTATGCACAGGGCACGCGTCGTCCTCGGTAATGATGCGGTGCTTCGCAACGGCTGTTTGGCGTACCTTCGACGACGTCGCAAAGCAGTCACGGTATTCGGCGAGGAGGTTAATCAGCTGCCGTCGTTTCGGGTGCGGAAGCTTAGGGTCGATGTCGAGTTCCGCTGGCGACGGACCGTCTTGCTGAGGTGGCGAGGATTCATCAGTAATGGCGGCGATTTCGGCGGAGTTTCGGAGATCCTCGACGTGGCCAACGGCTGCACCTTTTGTGAGGTGTTGCGTTTCATTCCGGAAGTTCGTCACGAGGACCACAGTGCGGCCATCCTGAAGTTCGGCTACTCCTCGTGCGACGCCTATTCCTCTTCCCAGGAGCAACTGGAGGTTGCCTTCCAGAAGAACTTCGCTACGGGTAGCTGCATCGGTCACGACGGGTACGACAACACTTGATCGCGGCGGCAGATTCACGTGGTCGGCAGCGACTCGGACGGCGGCTGACGCAGTTTGGAGTTTCTCTGAAGGCGGAACAGGTGTCCGCAGCGTCAATCTGTTTTCTCCAAGGTCGATGACGGCGCCGTATTCACACAAAAAGTCCATGCCGAGAATGACGTCTCTGGAACAGTCTTGTAGAATGGCGAATTTCACAGGACACGTCTCGCCGTAAATTTCGACGCGAGCGGTGCACCTTCCAACAGGCGTGATGAGGTGCCCTCCGGCGGTTCGTATCTGCGGTCCATCCCACGGCGTCGTGACTTTTCGAAGGTGGCGGGAGAGCCTCCCACTCAAGACTGAGTAGTCTGCTCCGGTGTCCACCAGTGCCGATGCGTCGTGGCCGCCGATGATGACATTTAGGTTGTTGGACACCGTTTCAGGAGCGTCGTTTCGGTCTCCGGTAGCGTTCGAGTGGGGGCCCTCCGACGTTCGTGGAGGATCTTGGCGTCGGTCGTCTTCGGCAACTCCACCTCCAGGGGTTGCCGCGCCTAGTTTCCCCGGCGTGGAGCGAGGGGCGACAGGCTTTCACGTCGGGGTCGGTGCATCGGCGAAGCTGGACGTCGGGGCGATGGCGACCGGAACTCTCGGCGGGACGCAGGCTCGGGGGACTGGGGTCGTCGCAGGTACTCGTCGATCTCCCGAGGGCGTTCACCATACCGGGGGCGCGGGTCGTTTGGGTGGAATCCGCGCAGCCCGAGTCGTCGGTATGGGCATCGGCGGTACACATGGTCGGCTTCCCCGCAGTGGTGGTAGAGCGGGCGTCGGTCGGCCGTTCGCCACACATCGGTCTTCCGGGGTACACGGGGCTCCTGGCTGGCGTACTGGGGCTGGTCGTCGCGGCGTCGGTCGTGCTGGGGCGCAGGAGACTGGCGTCGGGGCGGCGCGACATAGGCGCGAGGAGGAGGCGGTGGCCGTCGGGCCACTGCGGCGTAGGTCACGGTGGGCTCCTCGGGTGCAGCTACGTTGCCAGGAGCCTCCACTTGTTTTGCCCGCTGAACCTCGTCGCGGACAACTTCGGCTATTGACACCGAAGCCGGCTGGTGGGTAGCAGGCAGGAACTTCTTAATTTCCTCCCGGACGACGTCCCGGATGATCTCGCGAATGCAGGAGATGCTGGAGCCAAGGTCGCAAG